GGATCTCATTCCCAGTTGTTTCTCAAGTCCCAGCCGGAAACAAAATTTATTTACTGATCTTTTAAATTTGAAAAAGGAAAGAAATGCAAAAGTTGTCTGAAACAGGCACATTATATGACATTCATCTTTTCCCACTGCTTTCTAAAGTGGAGCTTTTTATTCAGTCAGTTTTAAAGAACCGACATGAAAAGCTGCGTGATGTACGTAATTACGTGAGAAGCTACGGACGGCCGTAACAACAACTATCGCCAATATTTCCAACTAATCCTGATTTTTGTTCAGCACTCTGTATGGATATCGTTGAAGCAAGATACTCAGAAGCAATTTTCCTGATGTTTTACCGGTGAACTGTCGTTACCCACTTTATTGTAGGTTTTGGTTCCAACGGTACTATATTCTCTAAGCATAGAAATTTCCTGAGTTGCCTATTAAATTCGTTCCGATATTCCGTACTGCAATAACATTTTTTGTGTTCACAGTTGTAGATCTAACCAATTAATTCTAGCGCAAAATGTTTCAACGATAAAAAAGTATTTCTTTTGATGTTTTGTAAGATCAATTTTTACCTTCTCCAATAATAGAAGAACCAATTGCATGAAATGCTTAAATTAACAAATATTCCCGCGTAGCATCCTATGTAAAATGCTGTCATTTCGGAAAAATCGTAGAAAAGTGTTAACAAGTAGACCAACGTTGATGCTAGCTCTCCCAGTCCAATAAATATCACGATTATCTTTAATGTTTGTAACAATTCGATGTTCTTAGTTGCTGAAATAAGAAATGCAGCAGTGTTCAGTTATTCATGAAATCTTGACAGATATGACACTAATATAGAAATGACAGCATTTGAAGAGTAGAGGTGCGAGGCTAAGGTTACTGCGGTAACATGTAGACGTGCTGCAATGATAAGGAAATAGGACAAGCGCCGTTCAAGTTGTTACTTTACTTTGCATGCCTTTTGTTAGTTAATTAAACAGCTCACTTGTTTTAGTCTTCACTACAACTCGGCTCAGTATTGCATAAAGTATAATTGTTGTTAAATTAATAACAGTTGATGAAATGCTCCAAATCGAATCTGACAAGCCATTGTATATTGCTACCACAACACAAATTACTTCGATACTGCAAGTAGAATGAAAAGATGCCAACGGTAATTAAGGAATTAAATAGGGAATAGAGCGTTTATATATTTTAAGCATGAAATATTTGGGAGTATTTCAAACATTGAACATGTTTGTTTATATAATTATATAATTCATATTTATATAATTTAATTATATAATTCTTCTCTTACTCAGAAATTTTGGTATTATTATCCTTCTTTCCTTTTAGTAATAGAACTTTATTCAAGCTCCTTCTACATCAAATTTCTTATCATATCGCTCCTTTGATTCGTATTTCCCTTAACAAGGTAAATGAATTTATATCTATCGTTCAAAAGCAAACAAAGTAAAAAATTTTCTGCAGGAAGTCAGTTGTGGTTTTATTGATTGATCTTTTCAACAAAAGTGTCGCATGCTCAAGAATTTAAACATTACTTCATAAATTCTAGTGGCCATTTATCATGCGTCGAGAATTTAACTTACTCGCTATTTCCGCCATATATAAAAACCAATATGAGCATAGCGATTGAATAAATTAAGGTTGGTAGGATCATTACTGGGATATAAAATTCCATCCTCATTTTTCGATATCTGCAAGTAACCACCACAGCTTTTATTGAGAAATATCTTCGACTTCAGAAGGAAAAAGCAAATCATTTAGCTTAATCATTTGAGAAGCCTGTCTATCTGGCGTCGGTAGAGAGATTGAAGTTACTTGTACCACCGAAATACTTGCCTAACAGGCTTCAAAATCGCGATAGCTCGATCTATGCCAATAGGAAATAATGTAGCCGATGCAAAATTTAGACCGAAATTCGGTATTAACTGTATCCAAATACATGTCCGTAAAGGTGTAAAAGTGATTCCGGTGAAGATAAAGTATGCAAATGGGATATGGCCGATCTGATGAAGAATGTTACCAAATGCGTTCAATGCTATGAATATATTGTTGGCATTATGTAGACGCCTGAAATTCTTATGGATTATAAGAACCCTATCATTATTTTGAAGTTTGAATTTGAAATCTTTGAACTTGAAACTGAGATATGTAAAAGGTTGCAGAAATCTGGTGCACAAAATGCTGTAAATGAAATGCTTCTGAGTCTTTGAATTCTTCATTTCGATTTTGTCCGATTTTAGGTAAATTAGTCGGATAACATAGCTGTTTTGTCCTCCTTTTATTTTTTCATTCCATTTTGCCCGAAAATTGTGGGATGGCTCAATAACCATGAAAAATCTGTTATCACTGATCAATGATAATCAGTGACCAAAGAATTATTGTGAGTAATCAGTTAATCAATTAATCAATCAATCAATGATGTACTTGCTCTGAATAGTAGCTATAATGAGCGCAGTATTGCCGATGAAACCAGTTAAAAGACATAGTAGAAAAATGCATATGCATGGTAGAATTGGTACCAATACAGCCATTTGACC